AAGATCTCAGAAATAAAAATGTGAAAAATGAAATAAATGCAAAAAAATATACCTGTAAAATTTGAAGAAGGAAACAATATGATTTATGTAACTGAGTATTTTTTACAATAGTCATAATTTTTAATATTTATAAGTTTTTGTTTCCTATTGTTTCTTTGTGTTTATTTTTGTTTATAACTTTGAATTTTTTGTTTCTTATTGTTTCTTTGTGTTTATTTTTGTTTATAACTTTGAATTTTTTGTTTCTTATTGTTTCTTCACATTTCTTGTGGTATTTGGTATATTAATAAATTTAAATTTATAATTTATATGATTATATATAATTCTGTATAATACATTTTGTTGTAAAGAAGCATTAGAGATGAGTAGAAATGTAAATAAATAATAAAAATTGAAATCAACTAAAATAAACTTTAAGTAACACGTTACAACAAAAAGCAACATGTTGAAACAAAAAGCAACACGTTGCAACAAAAAGCAACACGTTGCAACAAAAAGCAACACCTACCATTCAACAAAATGCAACAAAAAGAAAAAAAAACAATATACGGAGTATAAAAATAACACACTAATTATGTAATTCAATCTAGTGGGGGTGATACATTTTCAAGGAATCCTTTACAATCTAAATTGAGATGGAATGGCGGGAGACACCTCAGCAACACTGGTGGAGTTGAAGATCACAGAAACAGCCCGTTGCACCTTGGTCAGGTCACCTCCAGGAATAACAGTTGGTGGCTGGTAGTTAATACCACACTTGAAAGTGGCTCAACCATCAAAGTGGAAACCTGGGGTGATTGGGTGAAACCAAGTTTGGATTTATTGCCATAGTCAACAGAGATACGCTCCAGCAGAAGAGATTCAAGACCTGAACCAGTGCCTCCACCTACTGCATTGAAAACCAGGAACCCTTACAGGCCAGTGCAGTTATCAGCAAGCTTGCAGATGTGATCCAGGCAGATGTCAACAATCTCTTTCACAAAACAATTGAAATGTATAATTGTGTTAAATTCAGTAGCAAGTGAGGAAAGGATTCAAATTGTATTTACCTTTACGTGCAATGTCATATAGTGTCATTGTCTCTTCATTACATTGATTTCAATTACTCAATTCTTTAGTATCTGGAACATCAATAATATCCAGCACTACATCAAAGTTCCCATTTAGAGCTACTTCAACATCCTAGAATGAATAAAGACAAATTTATCATGAAAATAAAAATTATAATGGGCAAGAAAATTTCAAACTGAAGTCAGGGAGTAACTCTTTTTCATCATCACAAAATGAGGAGTCGGTAATGGAGAACCATGCACAAAACAAACACACATATCTACATTTCTAATCAACTTCCTGCTCAAAGTTAGTAGCCAAAATGTGATGTACAGGACCAATACAATTGTTCTGTTAAAATTTAAAAGCCCGGAGACATAGTTTAATCCATTCATTTTGCCATCAAATTTCTATTTAAGCAAAGTTTAATATATACTACGGGTATAATATATCCACATCAACCAGATAAAATAGGCCTACATAGTTCTCATAGGGATCAACAAGTTAACTCGAGCAAGATTGAGGTCCATAACGGATGAAATTCCATGCTTAGTAACAGATATGCGAACAGCCGAGCAATTCATAATTTTAAAATGAAAAAAAATTGCTTTCAATGGAAAAATCAAATTTATCTGCTGCTGTTCAAAAAACCTGGTGCGAAGGTAAACGGTTCCAACCTGCTATTACCTACTGGACGCCTCCAATCAGCTTGCCTCCTGCCTGAAGAAACACTCGAACTTCCCGTTCGCGATCTCCAATCTGCTTGCAAGGGTCGAAAATCAGCTTCTGGATCCGGTCCTGCGGTCTGGTCGCGTACTCCAAGCCATCTGCTCCTGGTGTAATCTCCGTGGAAATCAGGTTGAATTGCACAGGGTCGCACACTGCTCTGCTTTGCTACCATGGACGGCTGGAACTCCATCTCCCTTCATTTGTACTCCAGTCCTGTCGCTTCCAGCCATCGAATCGGGAAAAATAGATCAAAATACTGATCATAAGCTAATAGAGACTCCTTCGCGCCGCCCATGTCGTTGATCCCAATTTTGGTCTGACGACTCCGCATCAGGGAAACCGTCGCTTGTCGTCGAGCATCTCACTGGCCAACGATCGTCTTTGCCTTGGAGATTCGTTGAGGGGATTGCCATGTTGGGAAATCGTCGTCAGCTCTCTAGTGATATTATAAGCGAAGTATGAAGGAGGTGGGCAGAAAGCAAGAGTGAAATATGAAAATCTAAATTGAAAAGAAGAAAGTTAAAAGTGAAAAGATAAAATAATTGAGCCATAATTGATATGTGATAGACAAGAGCAGACTTCTCGGGTAATTTCCACATCAATTTACCCGCTGGCCGCTTGTAGAATTTGGATAGTCCAATGTACATCCTATTAATTAATACACTACGGAGTAATATACTCGTATTACATACTCCATATATAATACGGAGTAATAGATCTTTTTTAAATGGTGCCCCCACTTAAAGTGGTGCCCTAGGCAATGGCCTAGCTGCCTACCCCTATGGCCGGGCCTGCAAATACATATATATTTAAATTTTGAGATAAATATACCTAGGAAAATAAAATTTGGGGGGGGGGGAGCAGCCCCCATTTGCCCCCATGCTCGGCCCGCCACTGTCCACCACTTCTCACTTGAGGTTTCCTTCCATTTTGTGTAATTATTTTCATAAGGAGAGATTCACCTTTCTTATCGAGTTGGGATGAATAAGGCTCATCCTCGTCGGGTGTTTCTTCGTCGGGAGTTTGTTGATCGCCTTGTACCTCTTCGGCCGTCGCTGGCACCTCCTTTTCGGCGTCGTACTTCGCATCTTCCCGATCATAATTTGTGTCAAAATCACCCCGACTTTGAGAAGAAGACCTGACATGTCCTCTACCTCTGCCTTGCGAATTGGGATGGTTCTTCGCAATCTCCTCTTTCAGTTGCGTTGAAGGTTACTCATATCTACAGAATGTCTACACCGTTCCATCTTAAAATGTAACATGTATTAATATAAACTTTGAGTAACTAAAATGTATGTAATTTGTAACTGAATATGGCTTTATTTAATAAAATATTGAATTAATGTAACTGAAATGTAAGTAATTTGTAACAAATTAATATTTGTGAGTACAATTAAAGTGTAACTAATATTAATGAAAAATGTAAGTAATAGGATAAATGTATGAATGTATAATAATAAATGTATTAATGAATGTAAGTGTGTGAGTAATGAGATAAGTTAACTAATATTAATGAAAGTGTAACTAATATGATAAATGTATTATGTATATTAATTAATGGAAGTATAACTAATAGGATAAATTTAACTAATATTAATGAATAATTGAATATTAGTTAAACTACAAATTATACTTTAACTAACTAATATATACAGAGCAATATAATGTTTGTAGTATATAATACGTAGTATATAAGTATGCTACTATAAGATGAGTAGTACACTTACATATAATACTTTAATATATATACTACCTCCGTCCCCCTAAGTTTGGGACAAGAGAAGGTGGCACAATTATTAATAAAAGTGGGTTTATGTGGTTGATATTGAATTGATAAAGTAAGAATAAAGTAAGAATGATTTAGAACCACACAAAATTTACCAAATAAGGTATGAGACAATCTTAGTGGGACGGGCCGAAAAGGTAAAATTGGACAATCATAGCGGGACGGAGGGAGTACTTAATATATAAGAAGCCACCGACCTGGCCGCAAGCAGCTAATTAAGAGTACTTAGAGGACAACAGATAGAGAAGGCGCACAGATTGGAGAATGGAGGAGCGCGCATCAATATGGGGTAGGAGTGAAGACAAGATTTTTGAGACTGCTCTGGTCAAGTATGCACAAGGCACACCCAACAGATGGGCGAAAATTGCAGATTTGCTCCCGCTGAAAACCGCTCTGCAAATGGAAACACACTATCACATTCTGATGTCCGATGTAGCGGATATTGAGACTGGTCTTATACAGCTTCCCGACTACACAGAATCAGCCAATGACAAGAACACGAAGAAGAATAAGATCAAAGAGGCCAGGAAACCAGCTACCCAATGGACTGCAGGAGAACACAAGAGATTCTTGGAAGGGCTAAATAAGTATGGGAAAGGAGACTGGAAGAGCATAGCTAGGCAGTGTGTGAAGACAAGGTCAGCTACTCAAGTTGCTAGTCATGCTCAGAAGTATTTTATTCATCTGGACAAGGATGTCAAGAACAAGAAGAGGTCAAGCATCTATGATGTTTCATTGGAATAACACATACATTATCTGCTTCATCATTTCTTCTACTATACCAAACTTCCATTGACTCTGACTGATCTGTTAGTTTTATCATTTCTAGCTAGCTATGACAGTTTTATTGAATGACTTATAAATGAGCAGGGAAGAAATATGATTTTGATAGAATATTCATTAAAAAAATATACTTAATATATAAGTAGATATAATTATTGAATAACTAATTAAAATAGATATAATATAAATATTTATAGGGGTAGAGAGAATTGGAGAAGATGAAGATGATTAGAGAGTATCAGAGAGTAACAAAAATCAGAGAATAGGTGTAGAAAAATGTACGTTTAGAAAATATGTGTATTTATAAGTTTTTTTTACCCCATCCACAACCCCCTCCGGCCTCCCCAGACCCCTCTTCCAATGGCTAGGAGCCCAAATAGCAGCCCAAGCCAATTAAGCTATTTTTATTTATTTATTTAAAATATGGCCGTTAGGCCCGGATCGGGCCGGACCCAGCTAGGCCAGTCCAACATTTTCGAAGCCCGTAGCCTGCCTCTAGCAAACCTGGTTCGGGCCTCCAGTCCCGGTCCCGATCCCCGTTCATTGGGTCGGGTCGGGCAAGCACAATGCCGGGCGGTGCCGGGTCCCGGGTCGGGCCGACCCTACCCAGTCCACCCCTACTATAAAATGACTAAATGAGCCTGTTGTTTTCAATTTTCCGTACCATAGGGACTACCTTCTCAAACGTAGACACGCCCACAACCAATTCTGATCATCTTCTCTGAACAGACTAGCTATTCCCCACGGTGTTCGGCGGGCGGGGAACTTTGATTTGTGAAGTCGTGTATGGAGGAATGATGGAAACTTTGCACAGGAGGATAGAGACATGGATCAAAGATCAGAGTGCAAGGATAATGAGCCTCACCCGGCCGCCCCTGCAGTGGCCAATGGCGGTGAAGTGGCCTTGGGGCGATGGCAAAGAGCAGAGGAAGAGAGTTCAGGAGGAGTTTGAACGGAGAAAGAAGCAACTCAAGGATCTCTGCTTCGCCGTTAAGGCTGAATCTGTCTCCGATTTGCAGGATATCCTTTGCTGCATGGTGCTGTCTGAGTGTGTTTACAAGGTTATTTCTTCAAAAGATTCAAATTTTATGCAGGGTTATCGCAAATTGAAGTGCATTCCCTTACCATTTGATCTTGAGTAGCCAGATAGTGAATTATTGCTTGTTATTACTTGTGATCATTCATCAATCTTCTAGACCATAATATTTAGTGCTCCCAAAGTCCCAATGCATCTGATTTTGATAATGGCATTGCTGTCTGTTCTTATATCTATTTTTAAGTTTACTAGGCGTAATTTCAGGAACAAAATCAACCAGAGCTAATTGTGATAAATTTATCTAGTTATATTCAGATGAGTCAGTACAGGAAAGGTCTTAGATAATTTTGTATTTGACCCTACCTAAAATCATTGTATCTGAAATTATGTAATAACAATGGCTTCAGAAAAATGGAACTGAAATTATACGAGTGGTGAACAAGTTTATGGCTGACTTTGGAGGAAACGTTTCTATAGAACGTGTTCAACCCTCTTCTGATCATGTTCCACACAGGTACATTGATACGTGAACAACTCTATTGTCCTAATTTTGAAGGTTTTGTTTTATGCTTCACTATCTGCATCTATTAACACTTTATAGTGCATCACCTTAGACCTTACAATAGGGTGATAATTATAATTCATTTTACTTTCTAGGTATTTGCTAGCTGAAGCAGGTAACACCTTATTTGCTTCATTTGTTGGGACCAAGCAATACAAGTCAGTGGTATTTTATATCAAGTCTTTAAATGTTTTTTACTCTGATGATAAATGTTCTTCATTTCATATGTTTCTCCCGTTTTCTATTCATAAAGGGATGTCATGGCTGATGTGAATATATTTCAAGGTGCCATATTTCATGAAGATCCCACAGGAGACTTTAACGAGAACGAATCCACAGAAGTGGACAGTCAGAAGAACAGCGTTGAAAATTTCTCAAAATCTATGGACTTGATGCCTAAACCAACAAAACCTATGCCAAAACCAGCAGTTCACAAGGTATTAAAGATTTCATTTTTCATGTTACTATGTTTGATCTCATGTATGTTCTTGATGCCTTATTTCTGCCATAAAACATGTTTGCTTACTGCCAGCTGCCTTTTGTTAGAAAGTAATTTCATTTTGTGTGTGATATGCATATTTGTTCCTGTTTGACTGTTTCCCTCATTACAGGGATTCTTGGCTCGTGCTAAAGGAATACCTGCATTGGAGCTGTACAGGCTTGCGCAGAAAAAGAAGCGGAAACTTGTGTTGTGTGGCCATTCACTTGGTGGAGCTGTAAGTTTGTTTTGCCTGCTACATTGCTACACATACTCGCTCACTCACACACATATATGTATGTGTGTGTAATGTATAATATAACACTGCGTAATTAAAGTGCTCACTTTTACAGTTTTACATGTCATTCATGGCTCTGGCACTGATGGAAATTATTTGGCTTTATTTTTCAGGTCGCAGTCTTAGCTACTCTTGCCATTTTAAGGGTTGTTGCTGCTTCATCAAGAGAGCATGAAAAGGTTCAGGTGAAATGTGTCACTTTCTCCCAGCCACCAGTTGGAAATGCTGCTTTAAAAGAGTATGCTACATTTTACATCTTTTGTATTAGAGTAATTTTTACTCCCTCTGGTCCATATTATAAGGCATGAATGCATGATTTTGGGTTACACATAGACCATGGAAATGACTAAAAGCATCTAAAATAATCTTCACTGTCCTAAATCCTAATATGCGCTTAAACATTACTGTGGGGAATACATCTAGAGTTTTCAAGAGGTGCAGTTGTGAAAGAAAAATTTAAATCTGCATTAGTAATACAAATTTTTCCATCATTTGCAATGGAGCCAAAGATTCATTATTTTTTGGCTTGAGAATATGATGGAATAAAGCAAAATGGCTCACTAAACTGTCTGCGCTTCTTTGTTATGAAGCAGCAGCCAGTCCATGCAATTTTGGACGCGATTTTCACTATGGGTCATCCGGAAACAGTCTCTCTGTGCTTTAGTACAGGGATAAGAGTATAAGACTGCGTACATCCAATCCCCCCTTACCCCACCGTAGGTGGGAGCCTTTGCGGCACTGGGGTAAATGAAAATGAAATGAATGAAATTAGTAATACAAATGTGACTTATAGTAGGATCACCCTATGTCCCTAACATATAAACAATTACACAGGCTGGAGGGAGTAGTTGTGTAGCTTGATGACTCTTTATATTGGTTATTCTTCTTCAGCTATGTGAATAGCAAAGGGTGGCAGAACTACTTTAAAACCTATTGTATTCCAGAAGATTTGGTGCCTCGTATATTGTCTCCTGCATATTTTCACCACTATAGTACCCAGTCGCTACCAACACATTCTGATGCTAGTGGCTCGCTATCTATATCAAAACCAAAAGGGGCTGATAAGAAGAATGGTGAAAGAGGAAAAGAAAAGGATGGGGAGCAACTAGTTCTCGGTGTAGGTCCTGTTCAGAACCCATTTTGGAGACTCTCTAGGCTTGTGCCTTTAGAAGGTGTGAGAAGTCAGCTCTATAAGTACAGAAGGAAGAAGGATGGACCTCTTGAATCATCTGCTAACAGTGCTTCAGCATTACCATCATCTCTTAATGATATATCTACCCCACAGTCTCTTGAAATCCAGGAAGGCTCTGACGGAATCACTCTTCAACCATTGCCTCAGGCAAATGAATATATTTCTGGTGACCTGAAGAATGGAAAATCTTCTGCCAGTAATGGGGAGAAGAGGGCACGAAGAATAATTCCTTCATTACCTTCATATGTACCGTTCGGTCAGGTTGATATATTCCCTTGCATCCCACTATGAACTGTGCTCTTCATCACTCTATAACTTTATAAGCGGTCAATAACATGTTCAATATGGTGTGTGTACCGTACCTGTATATACTCACACACACACATTAACTTCAGTTATAGCATGTTTGGTAGCCCAAGTAATTGTTGATGAATAATAAAGGTCATAATTGGGTTCATAATATAAGTTCCCTCTTTGCTTGTATCCTTTTATAATAAGCCTTTACTCCTTTAGCTTAACCCGACCCTAACCAACTTTCTTCAGTTGAGATTTTTAGTTCTAATATTTATCATTTCTTTAAAATGTTTCATAGTTCTAAGTTGAGATCTAGTTGAATCAATTCTGTATTTGTTGCAAGTTTTTTTGCATTTGCTACTTGACTTTGGATAGGTGTTCATGAACTTATGATTTTCTTGAACATACTTTAGTATGTGAAATT